CTATGATAATGTACTGTTTTGTTTTTGTGAAGTGTCTATGATAATGTACTGTTTTGTTTTAGTGAAGTGTCTATGATAATGTACCATTTTGTTTAGTGAAGTTTTTATGATAATGTACCGTTTTGTTTTTGTGAAGTGTCTATGATAATGTACCGTTTTATTTAGTGAAGTTTTTATGATAACGTACCGTGAGGCAGGCAGGATGGGCGATCTGTGCACAGTTGGAACACTCCATCAGTGTGAGGGACAGGTCTCCACTCTCCTCCTGATTGGGTTCTTTGCAGATCTCACAGACAGCAGACAGYGGAAGGCCCGGCTAGAGGAAACACAGGAGATTATAGGACAGGTGCACACATCATACAAAGAATCAGWGCCGTTTCACATGCAACACAAAACTTTAATAAACCGGCAGATAAGAAAGCTTCTATTTAAATTAAAACTCTAATTTATCACCTGAAGATATCTGATCAGTGTCTGAATACTCAGTCCTGGTTCCTTTATTCTTATTCCTGACATCCTGTCACCAATCCATAAGATGATTGGAAGTCTTCTACGAAGGTGTTATTTTAAACTTGTCACACAAATTTGAATCAGGAAAATAGAACTCCCCAAAAAAAAAAAAACATTTAAATGTAATGTTACTGTTTTGTGTTTATAAAATATTGATGAGAGAATGTTTGTCTTATCATCTGTGAGTAACAACATGTGAGTTCCTGCACTGTAAAACCCCTCTGGTCCWGTTACCACTGTGTATGATCATTGAAAACATGTGTTCCTTACAGAGAGACACTGTCGCAGCACACAGGTCTGCTTCAGTTTGCCTGGTCCTCCAAACTTCTTCATGTCTCTGCAGAAGTTACAGTCCCCACACTCTGGTCTCACACAGGCCTCACACCGCTTACATCTGGAAGGAGTCACAACAGGACAGGAAACAAAGTGCACTGAGGACACTTTCACTGATATATTCATTCTTTCAGGATGGTAAAGTTTGGTCTCTTTAAACAACTGATCCAGATTAATGCAGATACAATCCATACAAACACAACCAAAGTCAACGTGTCTCAGCTGCTGATGGTGATTTAAAGACATGTAGGACAACAGCAACAAAAATAGTATATTTACATAATGAGGCAGGATTTGTCATTGTTAATTTACCGTATTTATCCGTGTATAATACGATCTCATGTATAATACGATCTCATGTATAATACGAGCTCATGTATAATACGACCTCATGTATAATACGACCTCATGTATAATATGATCTCATGTATAATATGATCTCATGTATAATACGACCTCATGTATAATACGACCTCATGTATAATACGACCTCATGTATAATATGATCTCATGTGTAATATGACCTCATGTGTAATATGATCTCATACGATCTCATGTATAATACGACCTCATGTATAATACGACCTCATGTATAATACGACCTCATGTATAATACGACCTCATGTATAATATGATCTCATGAATAATATGATCTCGTATAATACGATCTCATGTATAATACGACCTCATGTATAATACGACCTCATGTGTAATACGACCTCGTATAATACGACCTCATGTATAATATGATCTCATGTATAATATGATCTCATGTGTAATAGGATCTCATGTGTAATACGATCTCATGTATAATACAACCTCATGTATAATATGATCTCATGTATAATACGATCTCATGTATAATACGACCTCATGTATAATACGACCTCATGTATAATACGACCTCATGTATAATATGATCTCATGAATAATATGATCTCGTATAATACGA